ATTGCTGAAAGGGCCCTGGGGATAGTTGGCAAGAAGGCTTCATACAGAGGTGAATTGAGAATACGGGAAATCCTATAGGAAGATGGCAAAGATCAATGATGGGGAAGGGTGCAAAGCATCTTCCTACTGCTCTTTGCCTTCCAATATCTATTTTCCCTTTCTCCTCCACACAAGGTTTTCACTGGGGAAATGGCAGAACCATTCCCTGGGAGGCACTTTGGAAATCTCAGGGCCTGGAATACTAAATGACCCATTCTCCGTAATAAAACAAAGAATTGCCCCACATGCTACATGACTTCCAAATGTCTTACTAGACCTTTAATTTAAGTGAAAAATCCATTTTAAATGCTCTGAACCTAGCCTCTAACTCTGTTTTTACAAATACTCATAAAGAATTTTTATTTTATTTATTTATTTATTTTATTTTATTTTATTTATTTATTTTTTGAGATGGAGTTTCACTCTTGTTGCCCAGGCTGGAGCGCAACGGCATGATCTCGGCTCACCACAACCTCCGCCTCTCGGGTTCAAGCGATTCTCCTGCCTCAGCCTCCCGAGTAGCTGGGATTACAAGCGTGTGTCACCACGCCCAGCTAATTTTGTATTTTTAGTAGAGATAGAGTTTCTCCATGTTGGTCAGGCTGGTCTCTAACTCCCGACCTCAGGTGATCCCCCCACCTCAGCCTCCCAAAGTGCTGGGATTGATTACAGGCGTGAGCCACCATACCCGGCCAAGAATTTTTTTTCTTTTAATCTTAATAAAGTCACTGCAGGTATCCGATCACCCCATCACACCCCAGCATTTGCACCCATCACATTTATGGTGACTCCAAATTGAGGAGCAAGCATCTCTTTTATTATTCTCATGTAGCTAGACATGTATGTGGAAATACATGCTATTGAAAGATATGTTACTTTACTATAATTAGTTTCCTTTGATTTCTCCTTTACATTGCAGTTCCTTATATTTTATTTTTTAATTTTTAAAAATATGAGCATAGGTAGGGGCGGCTATTCACCTAAGTTTACCCTTCCTGGGCACACAGCTACACTACATTTCCCAGCTCCCATGCTGTTAAGTTTGTTCAAATGACTGTGACAAGTTCAAGTCAATGGAATGTGCTGTATGCTATCTCTGAGCTGAGAATTTTAAGAAGCACTATGCTCCTTCCATGTTCT